CTAAAGCCCTAAGGAGTCCCATAGCCCAATTCAAGCCTCTGAGAGTCCTGAAGGCCCGGTAGTCCTATAACAGAATTCGAGCTCTTAGAGAGTCCTCAGCTTGAGGCCAAGGGACTCAGGGAGTCCTATAGACGAGCTGAAGACTCAGGGAGTCCTATAGACGAGCTGAAGACTCAGGGAGTCCTATAGACGAGCTGAAGACTCAGGGAGTCCTATAGACGAGCTGAAGGCTCAGGGAGTCCTATAGACGAGCTGAAGGCTCAGGAAGTCCTATAGACGAGCTGGAGGCTCAGGGAGTCCTATAGACGACCTGAAGGCTCAGGGAGTCCTATAGACGAGCTGAAGGCTCAGGAAGTCCTATAGACGAGCTGGAGGCTCAGGGAGTCCTATAGACGAGCTGAAGGCTCAGTGAGTCCTATAGACGAGCTGAAGGCTCAGCGATTCCTATAGACGAGCTGAAGGCTCAGGGAGTCCTATAGACGAGCTGAAGGCTCAGGGAGTCCTATAGATGAGCTGAAGGCCCTGGGAGTCCTATAGACGAGCTGAAGGCTCAGGGAGTCCTATAGATGAGCTGAAGGCCCTGGGAGTCCTATAGATGAGCTGAATGCTCAGGGAGTCCTATAGACGAGCTGAAGGCTCAGGGAGTCCTATAGACGAGCTGAAGGCTCAGGGAGTCCTATAGACGAGCTAAAGGCTCAGGGAGTCCTATAGACGAGCTGAAGGCTCAGGGAGTCCTATAGACGAGCTGAAGGCTCAGGGAGTCCTATAGACGAGCTGAAGGCTCAGGAAGTCCTATAGACGAGCTGGAGGCTCAGGGAGTCCTATAGACAACCTGAAGGCTCAAGGAGTCCCATAGAAAAATTCAAGCCTTTGAGAGTCCTGATGGCCCGGTAGTCCTATAACAGAATTCGAGCTCTTAGAGAGTCCTCAGCTGGAGGCCAAGGGACCCCTATAGACGAGCTGGAGACCCAAGGAGGTTAATGGTCGAGCTGAGGGAGTCGGTAGACGAACTGGACGCCAGTGAGTCCTATGGATTGAATTGAATTATTTTTTTGATTGCCCACATGAAATAATGTACATTACACCACCACGAAGTTCGATATGAAATATTACTCCACCCCTGCCCCTTCCAGCCCTTTGGCAAATTGAAGAAAATAGCTCTCAAGTCTTTTTCACATTTCATGGCCCATTTAGATTCCATTTAAATGCCTTTTATCCTTTTCTAAATAAGTCAATTCATGAGAGGCAATTGAAAAGTGCATTTTCACACACATACAGCGCCCACCACCCTCCTACATTACTATACAAATTCTCGATTGCAACTAAATAGCAGCATTGCCACTTGTTGTACTTCTTTCATTGCGCTCGCCTCGGCAGTAACATCCTCTTCATAAATAATTTATGACAGTTTCGAACGAAAGCAATCGGCGGCAACGATATCCTTTTCATCATCATCAACAGGAACAGTAACAAAAACAACAACAACAACAACATCAATGTACACAGCCATTTGTTGCAAAGATGTTGGGCCCTCAAGCGGATATGTTGTTCGCACAAACACCTATAGACCTCCTTTAGCTGATGTAGTGGTGGTGGTGTTGGTGATGGTGATGATGCTGAACGGGGCGTGCAGGATTCCACCCATCCTACTTCTGGCACAGACAGATTAGATTCTTACGTTGCATTCATTTTTGAAATTTGAAAAAAAAACCCGGACAGGAATTTCAAATGACATGCAATAAAGCTGTTAAGGATACATCAGCCCAGCCTCGGTGATATATCCATTTCTATATCCTTTGAATGAATGGATTTGAATAGTTGGCTGATTGGAAAGCTGGATCGTGGTTTTGTGTATTTCCTGTGGCTCTTTGGCGTCTATTTAGGACTTTCGAGCCCTTTTTAATCTCCCGCTCTTGTGCTCTCTATTCATGTGAAATATATTTTTGTGGGGGAGTTAGGAAGGATGACAAATGGTAGATGGGGGGATCGGGAAATGTAGTTAGAATATTTCGATTTTTTTTTTCGAAAATAACTTTGTTGTTATAGTTTTGTTTTCTAGGACTTTTAAACAACAAAACAAAATCTACAAATAACAACAACATTGACGAACAACAAAAAAAAACTACATTGTGTCAGTTTTGATAAGCATTTTCATTCGTCATCATCAAAAGTTAAGTCAGGTGGTTTTTGGCCGGATGATGCTGCTGACTGATTTGATATGCATGTTTGGGTGTGTGTGTGTGCGAGTGTGGGTATTAGTCGGGATATTCTTTGCTGCCCGGGTGGATGAGTGGGTGGCTGGCTGTGCTGCTGTCCTGGTGGTCTCCCAGTGTCGTTTTGTCGGTGCCATTGTTACGGTTCAGTTGAGCTTTACTTTAACTTTTCTGCTTCGTTTCTATTCCGTTTGCTTTGTATGTCAGTTGGAAGAATTTTCGTTCGTTTTTTTTTTGTTGCTTTCCGAGGAAAAACTGCATACTTTTCCAAGTTAGATTTTCATTTTGACTGATAAGGGATTGCGGGCGTATTACAATTGAGTTGTAAACGAAACAGTATCAAATCCATGATTTCGGGGGGTATGCAACTGGTTTAAGAAATGGAAGAAAAATTGAAATTTAAAAAATAGTTGGGGGGTTTTAAAGTTTTTCAGACAAGCTCAAGAGTCTGGAAGATTTTTTAGGTGGGCTGAGAGGTCTAGGGATTTTTATACACAAGCTGAGAGGCTAGGGAGTCTCTATAGATGAGCTTAAGGGCCAGATATTTTCTATGGACGGGTTGAAGTGTCAAGGAGTCTGCTTGAAGTCTTATAGACGAGCAGATGGCAGGAGTCTTCATAGGCGAGGTGAAGGGCCAAGGAGTCTCTATAAATGAGAAGTCTCTACAGGTGAGCTGAAAGGCCAGGTAGTTCCATAGACGAACTAACTTTTGACGAGCTGACGTCTCTGGAAGTCTTATAGATGAGCAGAAGGCTCTGGGAGTCCTATAGACGAGCAGAAGCCTCTGGGAGTCCTATAGACGAGCAGAAGCCTCTGGGAGTCCTATAGACGAGCAGAAGGCTCTGGGAGTCCTATAGACGAGCAGAAGGCTCTGGGAGTCCTATAGACGAGCAGAAGGCTCTGGGAGTCCTATAGACGAGAAGAAGGCTCTGGGAGTCCTATAGACGAGCAGAAGGCTAGGGGTGTCCTTTAGACAAGCAGAATGCTCGGGGTGTCCTATAGACGAGCTGAAGCCTCTGGGAGTCCTATAGACAAGCTGAAGGCTCTGGGATTCCTATAGACGAGCTTAAGGCTCTGGGAGTCCTATAGACGAGCTGAAGGCTCTGGGAGTCCTATAGACGAGCTGAAGGCTCGGGAAGGCCTATAGACGAGCAGAAGCCTCTGGAAGTCCTATAGACGAGCAGAAGCCTCTGGGAGTCCTATAGACGAGCAGAAGGCTCTGGGAGTCCTATAGACGAGCATAAGCCTCTGGGAGTCCTATAGACGAGCAGAAGCCTCTGGGAGTCCTATAGACGAGCAGAAGCCTCTGGGAGTCCTATAGACGAGCAGAAGCCTCTGGGAGTCCTATAGACGAGCAGAAGGCTCTGGGAGTCCTATAGACGAGCAGAAGCCTCTGGGAGTCCTATAGACGAGCAGAAGGCCCGGGGAGTATTATAAACGGGCACAAGGACCGGGGAAATCCTAAAGACGAGCAGAAGGCCCGGGGAGTCCTATGGACGAGCAGAAGGCTCTCGGAGTTTTATAGATGAGCTGACGGCCCTGGGAGTCCTATGGACGAGCAGAAGGCTCTGGGAGTTTTATAGATGAGCTGAGTCCTATGGGCGAGTTGAAAAGCTCTGGGAATACTATAAACGGGGTAATGGACCTGGGAGTCCTTTAAACGAACTCATGCCGCTGAGAATGCTATAGGCGAGCTGAAGATCTACGGAAGGTGGGCTGAAGATCCAGGCGATATTAGCTGGGGGTTCTCTTTAGACGAGGTGGGGTTCCTCTAGACGAGCTGGAGTCTCTATAGACGAGATGGCGTTGCCGGGAGTCTCTATAGACGAGCTGGGGTTTCAGGGAGTCTCTATAGACGAGCTCGGGTCTAGGGAGTCTCTTTAGACGAGCTCGGGGTCCAGGGAGACTTTATAGGCGATTTGGATGTCCAGGGAGGTTCTATAGACGTGCTGGGATTCCAGGGAGTCTCTATAGACGAGATGAAGGCTCCGTGAATCCTATAGACGAGCTGAAGAGCCACAGAGTCTATAAAGGCGAGCTGAAGGGCCACAGAGTCTCTAGAGGGGAGATGAAAGGACACAGAGACTAGAGGCAAGCTGAAGGGCCACAGAGTCTCTAGAGGCGAGCTGAAGAGCCAGGGAGTATTTATGGGCGAGCTAAAAGGCAAGGGATGCGAGCTCCAAGCTCTGGTACTGGGTCCAGGGAGTCTATAGGCTTGGCGAGACATACTCTCACTGAGCTGCACCCCATCGAGACATACTCTCACTGAGCTGCACCACATCGAGACATACTCTCACTGAGCTGCACCTCATCGAGACTGACTCTCTCTCTGAGCTTCAGTTTATCGAGACAGACTCTCTCTCTCTCTCACTCTCTCTGAACTTCAGGTCACCTACCTAAGCTCCAGCTAATATACGCAGACTTCCTAAGCTTAAGATTATTCACACGGACGTCATGAGCTTCAGATCATATATGCCGACTCCTTGGGCTTTACATCATTTATCCAGATTTCATGAACTTCAAATCGTCTATACTGACTCCTTGAGCGTTATATCATCGACATGGACTCCTTGAGCTCCAAAAATAAGTCTTTCTACAGTTCAACGTGAAGACCAGAAGACTCGTAGAAATTCTCTGAGTCTTCTAAAAAGGAACCACTTATCTGGACCATATCCTTATAGCTATAAGGCTACCTATTAAAGCTTGTCGATAGTTGTAATAGTTATACTATTCCATCCCTTTTTCTTATTTATTAATTTCCGATTTTCTTTCTTGTTCCACTTCCAGCATTGCTGAAGAAAAGAAAAAACTTGGCAACGACGATTACAAGGCACAAAACTATCAGTCAGCTTTGAAATTCTATTCAGATGCCATCTCATTATGTCCCGATTGTCCGACATACTATGCCAATCGTTCGGCATGTTACATGATGCTCTCCAACTATACGAATGCATTGAACGATGCCCGGACAGCGGCCCGTCTAGATCCGGCATTCGAGAAGGCCTATGTGCGCATTGCGAAATGTTGTGTGGCAAAGGGTGATATTATTGGTGCGGAACAGGCTATCAAGAAAATTGAAGAGCTGGACCCGCAGAGTAATTCGGTCAATGCAGAGAAGTCGGCCACACAGCAGTTGCGACAGCTGGAACACACCGTACAGTCGAATTATGACGCCAAAGCATATCGCAATGTAGTTTTCTATTTGGATTCGGCCATTAAGTTGGCTCCAGCCTGTTACAGGTAAGGGGAGCATTCAATATGCATTCGTAAAAGATATTAATTTCTTTTGTTTTCTTCAGATACCGCCTCCTCAAGGGTGAATGTTTGGCCCTGCTGGGCCGCTGCGATGAAGCCGTCGATATTGCCATCAGTGTTATGAAACTGGACAGTACCTCGGCCGATGCCATTTATGTTCGCGGTCTTTGCTTCTACTACACGGATAATCTGGAAAAGGGTATCAAACATTTCGAACTGGCCCTGCAACTGGATCCCGATCACAAAAAGGCCAAGGAAATGCGCACCAAGAGCAAAACCCTCAAGGACATGAAGGAGAACGGCAATGTACTCTTCAAGACCGGCCGCTATCGTGAAGCCCAATCCGTTTACACCGAAGCCTTAAAAATCGACGAACTGAACAAGGATATCAATTCGAAACTTTTATACAACCGTGCTTTAGTCCATTCCAAATTGAATAATTTACGTGATGCCGTTGCCGATTGTACACGGGTCCTCGAAATTAACGACAAATATCTGAAGGCATTGCTGCTGCGTGCCCGCTGTTACAATGACCTCGAAAAGTTCGAGGAATGTGTCAATGATTATGAGGCTGCTGTGCAGATACAAAAGACACCTGAGATTAAGAAACTGTTACGTGATGCAAAATTTGCATTGAAGAAGTCGAAACGTAAGGATTACTACAAGATATTGGGTGTGTCACGTAATGCCGGCGAGGATGAAATTAAGAAGGCATATCGTAAGAAAGCTTTGGTCCATCACCCCGATCGTCATGCGAACAGTTCGCCCGAAGAACGCAAGGAACAAGAATTGAAATTCAAAGAAATCGGTGAAGCCTATGCGATTCTATCGGATCCCCGGAAAAAGATGCGTTACGATAGTGGTCAGGATATGGAAGAACATGATCAAGGTGAGAACAAAATGAAACACAGTTCTCGATGAGAGAAAAGGACAACTAGCGATTACTGTCGGTGGATAAAATGGGTTTCGAGGAGTAACAGGAGCCAAGATTCCTTCATGAAGAGTCCTTGGTGTTCTATAAGAAGAGCTATTGGCCTTTTAATTAAAGACCGACCCATAGGCCTTCTTGAGAAGGCCTCTTTTTTCTTTTATTAGAAGACTTTTTGGACTGCTATCAGAAGACCCATCGGTCTTCTATGAAACAACACTTTGGTCTTCTTTGAGGAAACAAATTTATCTTCTATGGGAAGATCTATTAGACCTCTCTAAGAAGACCCATTGGACCTTTTATATGAAGACCCTTTAGTGTTCTCTGAGAATACCCATTCGACTTCTATTAAAAACTCCATTGGGCATGAGAAAACCCATTGGCCATGAGAAGACCTATTGGTCTTCTATGAGAAGACCCTTTGGTCTTCTATAGGAAGGCCTTTTGGTCTTCTATTAGACGACCCTTGGGTCTTCTATGAGAAGAGTCATTGGTGGTCTATGAGAAGAGCTATTGGTCTTCTTTGAGAACTCTTGGTCTTCTATGAGAAGACATCTTGGTCTTCTATGAGAAGCCCTCTTGATCTTCTATGAAAGGACTTCTTAGTCTTCAATGAAAAGACCTCTTGGACCTCTTAGTATTCTATGGGAAGACTCTCTGGTTTTCAATGAGAAGACTCTTTGGTATTCAATGGCTTTCTCATTTGGCCTCCTACGAAAATATTCTTTGGTCTCCTGCAAGAATACCCTTTGGTCTTCTTCGAAAAGACTCATTGATCTTCCACCAGGAAACCCTTTGTCGTTCTATGAAAAGACCTTTTGGTCTTCTATGAGAAAACCTGTTGGTCCTCTATGAAAAGACCTCTTGGTCTTCTACGAGAAGACCCCTTGGTCTTCTACAAAAAGACCCCTTGGTCTTCTACAAGAAGACCACTTGGTCTTCAATGAGAAGACCTCTTGGTTTTCTACATGAAGACCCCTTGGTCTTCTATGAGAAGACCTCTTAGTTTTCTATGAGAAGACTTCTTGGTCTTCTATGGGAAGACCTCTTGGTTTTCTATGAGAAGACTTCTTGGTCTTCTATGGGAAGACCTCTTGGTTTTCTACGAGAAGCCCCCTTGGTCGTCTATGAGAAGACCTCTTGGTTTTCTACAAGAAGACTTCTTGGTCTTCTATGAGAAGACCCCTTGGTCTCTTATGAGAAGACCCTTTTGGTCTTCTATTGGATTTTATTTAAAGACACATATAACTTCTGCGACACCCTTACATCTTCTATTAGAATACCCATTGGTCTTCTATTAAAAGACCCATTGGTCTTCTATGAAAAGACCACAGGGTCTTTTATGAGAAGACCCTTTGGCTTTATATGAGTAGACCCATTGGTCTTCTATGAGAAGACCGTTTGGTCTTCTATGAGAAAACCCTTGGATTTCTATGAGTAGACCCATTGGTCTTCTATGAGAATACCCTTTGGTCTTCTATGAGAAGACCGTTTGGTCTTCTATAAGAAGACCGTTTGGTCTTCTATAAGAAGACCGTTTGGTCTTCTATAAGAAGACCGTTTGGTCTTCTATAAGAAGACCCTTTGGTCTTCTATAAGAAGACCCTTTCGTCTTTTCTGGAAGACAATTTGATCTTCTATGAGAAAATCCTTTGGCTTTCTATGAGAAGACCCATTGGTCTACTATGAGAAGACCCTTTGGTTTTCTATGAGGAGACCCTTTAGTCTTCTATGAGGAGACCCTTCGTCTCCAATCATTTTATATCCATACATGTTTTGTACTGACAATTTTAATAATCTCATTTTTCTTTTCCCCTTGCAGCTGACATTGATCCATCCCATGTATTCCGGCACTTCTTCCAGTTCGGTGGTGGCCCAGGCGGTCAATCATCATTCAATTTTGAATTTTAAAAGCGGATGAAAAAACTCAAAAGAAGAATGTTGCGTTTTTTGTAAACAGAGAAGAGAAGAACAAAAACTGAAATGCCCAAGACTCAAACACAGCCAATACTACCACCACCACCACTATGTGAAACCACAACACACACACACACATACCTATCCACAAATCCATTGGAATCATTTGGAAGACCTGCCAGTCAGTCAGTCATATGGTCGACAACAAACAGAAAATATCATTGCGAAACGCAACAAAAAAAAAAAAAAAAAAAACAAATCGAGATGATCAACAGCTATTCTGCAAAAAAAGGACCTACTTAAAAAACAGAACAGAATAATTTGTGCATGGACATTATTCTAAATATAAATACAAATAAAATACAATACAATAAAACAACACAACACAAAAGAAACAAATTAAATTTTATAGATTTAATAATATTAAATAATTAATAAAACAAAAATTAAATAAAACAATAATTATTATTTAATGAAATTTGCAATACCACAATATATTCCAACAATTGCCACAAGAAATGTTGAAAGAATGGAAAGGAACACATTCTAAAACGAACAAAGAGAGAATTTAGTTATGTGACAGATAATGCGCAACGTTTATGTTAAGTGTTTTTGTTGTTTTTTTTTTTTTGAGTAAAGTTTATTGATATTGTTTTGTAACAAAAGAAAACATATTTCTTAAAAAAAGCTTTAACTCTGATGTTAACATTTGTATGGTCTCAAATTCCTTGTTGTGTTTTATGCGATTTCAAATACGAAATTTACATTTTATATTCTATGACAAAATAAAACTTATTTTAAACTAATAATCTATTGAAAAATCACTGCTCAACGAAGTAATGTTTTTGAAATTGGTTTTCAAATTCATTTTTAATTGCATTACCAATTTTTAATTAAAATATCTCTCTTCTGATCAAATGTTTGTAGCTGTGGAGTTTTGATAAAACAAACAATTTTGAAAACAATTGAAAGACATTTAAGTATTTTTGAAAGATATTTCAAACAACCACTACTTCAATTTAATATTTCGTATGGGAAATATATGATGATTTCTTCCGAGTTTGGGTATTTTGATGGAAATTGTAACATCTTTGATGGAGTTATCTGAAATTGGAAATATATATGACGTTTGTACTATTTATATATAGTGAATATGGGTCTGTATTTTGGTATAGACCCTATATAGTTATATACCGCCTCATAATCTGAATTCGCAATGTTTGAGTCACATTTTTCAACATAATTCTCAAAAATTTAGTAAATTAGGATAGACTACTCAACACGTTGGTTAATATCTATTCCAGTTTTTGTGGAACTCCTAATATTGGCACATTTAATATGTGGTGTAATAAAATGGTATTATAAAAATTTCCCCCATTGTCTAAAATTTCTTATTTATATTAAGAAACAAATTATCTCCCAAATTTTCGTTCCATGTTTTCCTATATTTCTTCCTATATTTTATATTTAAATACTTTTCGACACATTTTTATACAGAATTGTTGGAAATTTGGCATTAAAAGCACTCAAATATCAGAATTTTGGTTATTTCTTTCCTAAGGAGATCCCAATTAATTATTTTTGCCTAAATTTGGCGTTAAGAATCCAGAGCTTTTAGCTCATTTCGTTTCTCAGAGAACTATAGTCGATTTTCAGACAGATTTTAGTTTTCAAATTGTGCACATCTTATCAAAAGTTTGACATTGCCTTATTCGCTCTTTTAGTCCTCTTAATGTTTGGTTAGAAAACTATAACATATCATATCAGCTATAGCCCAGGGCATAACATTTGCTTCAGCCCAAGCTTGGACCAAATTATCGCATTCGATGCGAATTTAAGTCTGAAATTTCGGTAGAATAGATATAGGGTGCAAAAGTTAGATCTCAGTTGTTTCGTTTGAAATTTAGGCGATATAGAATGAGAGAAGTTTGAACCCTGATTGGAAAGCCCCCTTATCCACTGAAAATCAATTGAAAACTAATTGAAAATTAAAAACTATTTCGATGTTGCCTGTGTTTTACTACGTTAGTGCAACTACCTGTTCCACTAATCATGCATAATGTACTGGTTTCTCTATATATTCAATGGGACACACTATTTGGATAGTTTATTGGTGGGTCTGTTCCATGACAGCTTACATACATTGGATTTTCATAAGAACATACTTAAATCCTGTGTGAAACTTCTCACTCTAAAGGGAACCCCATTAAAATGAGGTCTATGGTCTGCTTAACTAAAAATATTCCCAATTATCTTATATAAGAACTTCTTTCGAATTTTAGAAGCTTATGAAAAAAAAAGAAAATTATTTTATAAGACGTCTATTGGTCTTCTAATATTAGAAAGGCTGCTAGTCTTACATAGAAAAACGTATTGTTTTTCTACATGTAGACTGGTCAACTATAGATTTTCTGGAACATTGCCGAGAACAGCAATCAATATATATTTTAATGTCCAAATGTAAGCAATATTGATGTTGCCTTTTGAGCTTTGCTTCATATTTTCGGTCGACGTATTGGGATATTTTCCCAAAAACTTTCTTAAATTTAATCCAGTTGCATTATTTAACAAATACATATTAAATGTTGTGAGACTACTTCATGTGGAGACTCGTTTTTTTTTATTTGAGGAGTATTCGTTGGTTACGTATAAGAGGAGAGAGTGATCGCTGAAACTCCAAAAATGATGAAACTCTATGAGGAGACGATTTTATTACATCAAACACGAACTTGTACCAAAAAAAAAAAAAATCCGGTTTTTCTAGACAGCCTACCTTTTTTTAGTTTCAATGGATGGTTAGAGATTTTATTCGCATTTGGATACTCCCTGTTGAGATTAAAAAATCACTTGATTTCTTAACAATTTTCGCGATATTGAAACATTCTGATCAACCATTAATGACATTTCCTAAAACTCTATTAATGCTTTCTTAGTTTTAATATGGAAATCCTTTTTTTAGTATTTGAAAAATTTAGCTATTTTTCTAATACGCACCAAAAAAAATGAATTCCCGTATAAAACTATTTGTTTCAAACGATGAACTTAATCAGTTTTTCGGTTCTAAAACTTTATAAACTTTAGATTAAAATTTTGCTTGGTCGACTTTCAACTAGCTCGATTAAGATGAAGTTTTATTTGGAGAATCAAAGAGATTTATCAGGCCATATGAAGGTTCGATTACACAGTATGTTAGATTCATATGTAAAGTGACTTTTTCATATCTTAGGTTTTACATTTTTATAGCATACGTTAAGGAGCTCAAAACTAATTTTATACTTAAATGTAACCGAATACTATATATTTCTATAAATACATTTGTACTTTATTCGTATATTTGTATAAATATATTGTACTACAAAGCTTTTCTTTTTAGGTTAAAAATTCTGGCGAACGTCTAGAAGTATGCTATAAAAATGTAACAGATAATTGTGAAAAAAGTTATTTAACATATGACTTTAACATCACGTTCAATCTTATCTGAAGACACCACAATAATCATATGTAAACAATATTTTTCCAAATTTACAAAAATTACATGTGTTTGGACGCTAGTATGAGTTCTTAAAAATATGCTAAGAAATATAACACAAATTAAGATATAGCCAATTTTAAAAAAGAAAACCTTCGCTTGAATAAAATATTGGTCGTAGGCGTCTTTGACAGTAGCCTATACATTTGCCATTTGTTATTCCCCCTTCACGCGTACAAAGTTTTACCCCAAGGAAGATTCAATTTTTTTTTATCCTCCTTTAACTCCTCTCTCATTTTCTACAACACTCTCCTTTCATTCGGACAAACTTCCTACATTTAAATTGAGTCCTTATGCAGAACATTTTGTTATTAGATTACAACCAAAAAAAGTTTTCTATCTTTCAATGAGGAGGCTTTTAATATTTTTTCCAAAAATCGTTTTTGACTAGTTTTACAAATGTTTTCGATAACATAAAGGAGAAATTGGTTATCGTTGTAAAAAGTTGTACATTCTTGCAGTTCGGTATAGTTGTTCTGGGCCTCAATTATTGTTCTATGAAAATGTGAAATGAAAAATTTCATAAAGGAGAGAAATGACAAATGAATAATTTTATAAAGGAATTTTTTTTTTTTCATTTCATATTTTCATAGAACAAGAATCCACTCCCTGATTTTGTCATAAATGTATTAAAGAAATTAATTTTAGTCATGAGGCTGTAGACCTGTTAAAATTCCTCTCTTAAATCTCTTTATTTTACATACATTTGTACTTGTGCTTGTAGGAAACAATTTTAAAATATTGTTTGAAAACCATTCAAATTCCAATTGATCTTTGGACTCAATTTTCTTTTTATTTAATTTGGCTCGAGGTTAGTTCAATTAAATAAAAAGAAACAAATGAAAAGAAACATATTTTCAACACATTTGAAATTTCAGTTATTAAAAAAACGTTAACAAAAAACTTGCGTAAACGTTCTTTGAAGCTCAATTTTCTTCATTTTATAAAAAAACAATGTCTTGATGTATTCGAAAAAAATACGTATTCTTAGTTATATTACAACAAAAATACAAAGTTTACTTTTGTTATGTAATTAGATTTTAATACTATTATTGTGTTAAGTTTTTTTTTCTTCGAAATTATTTAAATCATAATTTATGGAATCCTAATTTTCTTACATTTCAATTAGAAATGATAACTTTCGATTTCTTTTATATTTTAATAGGCCACGTTTAATGATGGATATTTATCCAAAAGACATTGGAAGGGTAATCGAAATGCATAATACAGTTTGAAAATAGAAAAAATTATATTCATTTTAAAATAGATTCACATTTTATACCCAAAACTAAAGTTTACTAGTTTTGTTTCAATTAAAACTACTATAAGCTTTGTTTCAAACACAAAATCCATTTATTTTAAATAAAAAAAAAACAATTTCCAAAATTTCATTAGAAAACAATAGTAACTCTTGTATAAAATGAACTTCTAATATTTATAAATTTTAATTTAATGAAATAAAATCTAATAGAAATGATTATAGAATCCTGCAGATGAAAACTACCAACCAACCAACTTAGTCATTTATATAAACAACAAACCAACTATTCAATACTTATGGTAATTAATTATTGATTACAAAAAATATTAAATAAAATAACTTTTCAAGAGAAAAAAATTGTAAAACCAATCAGCCAACCAAACAAGAACCTAACAACTGCAAATAAAGTTAAACCAAATGTTTTTGTGGTAACTTGAAACTGGTGGATGTTTTCTTTGTTGGAAAAAAATAGGAATGAATGGAAACGCTTCTACTAATAGCAAATTTTTGATGTAAACATTTGTAGGTCATACTCCGTTTGGATTTATTTGCCTTATTGGACATAGGTTAGATTTTTTTTAAATTTTGTTTTAAGTAGTTTTAAGAGAGTCCTTGCTTTATTAAAACACAGACACTACGTACGAATTTGTTTATACTTTTTCGTTCGCGGCTGATTAAAACATAAAATTTACCCTCTCCTCTCATCAGAGATATTTTCGTTTTTTTTTTAATATATTCAAAGTATATGCATTAGAAGTGATGTCAAAGTTTCGAACATTTTTGCATAAGTTTAAATTTGCAAAATTAATGATAATTTGAATTACGCATGGAATCTGAAATTATCAAAATAAGTGCAGCTCAAATTTAGTTCTTTCAAACATTCTGAAGTGTTAGGTATTTCGTTTTTTTTTCGAAATGAAGATTTTGAAAATAGTTTTGCTGTTGGGCACCGTATTTTGTTGTGCGGTAAGTCAGCGACAAGGA